TCGGGTGGGTGGGTCGGTCGGTCAGTCGGTCGGTCGGCCGGCCCCTCCTTCCTGGATGCAGAGCTGCGCTCGCCCCTCCCCCCACAGGCTCTCAGCTCCCAGTTCCTGCTCCCCCTCCACCCTCCGTCCCACTGAAATGGAGTCTCCCCGATTCCACTCGCCCTCGCCCTGCGTTTCCTGGAGCAGCCGCCTCGCTGCACGGCCGCGATGCCAACCCCGCGGGCTCCGGCCAGAACGTGCAAACGGGAAACCAGCCCTCCGGTTGGAGGGCAGAGGGCAGGGCTCCCGGTGCGACCGTTACACACGTGCCTCCCAGCCGGCGTCCCTCCCGCTGACCAGCTGTCCGCTCCCAGGTCTCTGTGCCTGGCGCTCAGCGGGCCCGGGAGCTGCTGACCATCCGTCACCTGGTTCTGGTTAAACTCCCGCCGCCGTGGGGAGGGCAGAGCTGACCAGGGAGCCGGGCAGCTGCTCTCTGTGCCGAGCAAAGACGCCCCTGAGTGCCGCACACAATGAGTGACGTGTGTGCAGGCCCCAAAGAGCCCGAATCCCTGGGCAGACGTTGTTCTGGTGCTTCTATGGGGGGGCGGGGGTTCTCGGTGAGAGAGGATTTAGATCAGGGGGACTGAGCCCAGCAGGGAGCCCTCCTGACCCCCCCAGAAGCGAGGAGGGCTCCTCCGGCCTGGACGCCGCCCAGTGAGACCAGCTCCTCGGCCTCAGCGGGAAGGACACTCCGTCCGGGGACTCCGGCCTCCGACCCACCTGAACACCTTGGAAACCAGCCTTCGTAGCCCTGAGCACCGGCCTGTGACGGGCAGAGACCCTCTGTTTCTCCGAGAGCCTGACTGAGGGCGTCGCGGGGAACAAGCCTCGGGAACCTGCCGGGAGGAGGGACCTGCCCTCACTTTGCTCCATGAACCTCAGAACCGGGGCGGCCCCTCCCCAGTGACGAGGCGCTGGAGCACGGGGTGGGTGCGGGGCCTGCCATTCGCAGCGGGTTGCAGTCCTGCCCCCGCTTACCCCCACCCCACACGACAGGAGGGAGGAGGGAGCGGGCAGCAGGTGAGCTAAGACACCTGTGACTAGAAAGAGGGAAAACCTAGGGCCGTGGAGCCCCCCTCGACCAGCGGGTGTTGATAAAACTGCCGAGCACAGACGGCTCATCTATCTCCAAGCGCACCTGCGAGACGGCGGCTCAGGGGAAGCCGTGTGTCATCTGGTGTCTCTCTCAGGAGATCAGGACTGTCCCTGTTGGCAGGATCATTGGGTTTGAATTGACTCTCTTTTTTTAATCCTCACCTGAGGATACTTTTCCATTGATTTGCAGAGAGAGTGGAAGGGAGAGGGGAAGACAGAGAAACATCGATGTGAGAGAAACACATCGATTGGTCGCCTCCTGGACACACCCTGACCAGGCCCGGGCCGGGGAGGAGCCTGCAACCAAGATACGTCCCCTTGACCGGAATCAAACCCAGAACCCTTCAGTCCGCAGGCCGAGGCTCTATCCACTGAGCCACATGGGCCAGGGCAAAAGAGATTCTTCATATTAAGCTAAGCAAACCCGTGCAGGTTGCGTGGACAATCGCATGTTTTATTAGATACAAGGCATCACTTTAAAGCCTCTGTAAATGCAAGGTAAGCCTTAAAGCAAGATATGATGGTCAAATTCTGTGTTGACATGGCAGACACCAACATGACTTTGCTACATGTCAAGTGATTCCGGTGGATCCGATGGTGAGAGAGGATTTAGATTGGGGACTGAGTACAGCAGGGAGCCCTCCTGACCCTCCCAGAATCTGATGGTCACCGTGGGACGGACGGCGTTGGCTGTGATGGCTCTGAAGTCCAGCAAAGACCCCTGTTGGTGTCACAAAGCAGTCGGGGTTCAGCCCACAGCAGGAGAGTCCTGTGGCCGGGGAGCTCTGTTGATCTCAGATTCGGAAGGGAGAGGCAGAGAGAGACAGAAGCATCCACGATGAGAGAGAATCATGGACCGGCTGCCTCCTGCACGCCCCCCACTGGGGATCGCAACCCAGACCTGTGCCCTGACCGGGAACGGAACCGCGACTCCTGGTTCCTAGGTCATCGCTCCTCCATGAGCACGCCGGCCGGGCCACCGTATTATTTCCAGCGGCTCTGCCCTGTCCGTTTCTGGGAAAACCCGTCAGACATTCACGCGTCAGATGAGCTTCAGACCGCGCTGCTCGCTGAGGAGCCGCGTCTCTCCAGGAAAGGGGTTTGCTGCTTGTGGGCACCTGCAGCCCCAACTCAGCACAGATTCGGACGAGCGTCCGCGACTTGACCCCGAGCACGAGGTCGGGAAGAACGGGACGGAGGAGCGGGCAGTTTTGATCGTGTTTAATGAAAAAGAAGTTACATGAATAGAAACGGACATAAAACAAAGAGGTCACGTTGGGGGGAGACGGTGATAAGTAGAACAGGGGAAACTCGTGTTAAGCCTGAATTTACTCATATATTTCCACTCGTTATTACTGACCCCAAAAGCCTTTTTAAATCCAAACAGAGCAATGGTCATATCTGATGTTTTCCTGAGAACTCCCCAAAATGATGTCTGCACGATCCCCTTCCGTCTCCTGGGGCCCCCAGAACACACTGGAGGGGACACGTTCCCCGGGGGCCAGCGCGGCGTGAAGACACGCGCCTTTATCTGCTCTGCTCACGCCCGCAGCAGTCGGCACTGCCAACGCGCTTCGGGCACAAACCCGCTTCTGCTGACATTTTAGGGGGAAGCTTCGAGCTACGCGGCCGTTTACTCCGGGTACAATCCTCGGCCAGGGAGTGACTGACTGACATGAGCACGCCGGAGAGGCCTCTGCTGGGTGCTCAGGTGAGATGTTAACGACGTGAGATCTAAAAAACGTGCAGGCGAACAGCAGCGAGCCCCTGGCTGGCCTGCCTCATGGCTTAATCCTGTTCAAGATTCTTAGCGGAGCCTGCAATACTCTGTCTCGGTCCTAGCTTCTAAATGAGGAGAAATGTCTTCTAAATGGGAACTAATACTGAAACACGCGGGCAGTAGGTTTGCTCTCATTATCTTATTTAACGTGAAATCTCCCTCCCGTCGGGCCAGGCCTCGCCGGCCCCGCTCAGAGAGACAGCGGCATGTGGGTGACCAG